CTTGAAATTCTTAATAATTTTACTTTTGAATTTGTGTTTTGTAAGTGAAGTCCTATGAGGACATGGACTATGCATCAGGAGTTTAGAGCTTGCCTCTGTGTCTCCTCCTACAGGTTTGTTATTGTTGTTGTTATTGTTTTGTTTTTTTTTGTGGTGCCAGGGATTGAACCCAGGGTCTTGTGCATGCCAAGCACTCTACCAACTGAACTATATCCCCAGCCCTGCCTACAAGTTCTTAAGAGACCAGTTCTCTGGCTCCTGGCCTCTCTTGTATCTGGATCTCCACCTCACTACCACTCTTGCTTTCTGCCAGAACAACAACTGGATTGCATTGGCAGGAAAACTCGGGTGGCAGGCTCATTTGTCCCTATAAGTCACTGCAAGTTTCCAATGGAGACCTGGGTACAGACTGAGGAGGACCAGGTTCCTGCAAGCAGTCTGCTCTGAAGTGACTTGAGACAGGACAGGGAAGCAGTTATCCCTGCCCCCTGATAACACACAGCATGTTCACCAGGTGGCTGGCCAGTGTAGGAGATTTCAGTCCCTGCTGAGTGGGGTGGAGGGGGTGTTATACATCTGCAAAGGTTGAAAGGATAGGCACATGAAACGCCTAGAATGACTAGCCTCCATCAAAGCCCTACATTTTTTTCTTTATCACTGGGCCCTACAGATTAGATAGCCAGTACTGATCCTGCCTCTTACTATGAAAATAAACCTCAAAACATTGACAAAAAAACTTTATGTGGAATTGTGGACTGGGGCCCTCTCTCTCTCTCTTTCTCCCTCCACTCTCCCCCCTCCCAGTTCTTGGGCTCAAACCCATGCTCAACAAACATTCTACCACTGAGCTACATCCCCAGACCTGGGCATCTCTTTACAAATGTTTTGTTTGTTTTTAGGAGCCTATTATTCATTTCTCTTAGTCATCAATAGCATATTATACTAATTTAGGATGTTCTTTTTGTCTTAGAAAGACCTGTCTTTCAAAAATATTCCTTCAGACAAGCTGTTGTTGTGGCTCAGTGACAGAGAGTTTGCCTTGCATATGTGAGGCACTGGGTTCGATCCTCAGCACCACATAAAAATAAATAACAAAATAAAGATGTTGTGGCCATGTATAACTAAAAAAGTTAGTAAAAAAGAAAAATATTTCTTCAGAGAATAAGATGAAACCAAAAGAAGTCATAATTCTGAGTAAACTTTTAAAAAATTATTGATATCATGGTGCATCATGAAAGAAGCAACAGGACTAAGGAGTTAGTCAATGTAAATTAACTATAGGAGGTAAGGTTAATTCCCATATAAAATAACCTCCCTCAATTTAATTCGCCTCTTTTATAAGGTGATTAGATTAGAAAATATCTGTGGATTCTCTTTAATATAATACAGTATCACGAAGTCTATTAAGATGAAAGTAAACCAAAGCTAAATAATTAATAGATCATGCTTTTGATCTCAACTGAGTTAACTATCCTCTGGGGTTCTTGAAATAAATAACTATTTTTTAGAAATTGTACCACACAGACACTAAAATACAAAACACAAACATAGCTCTTCAACAAACATCTCAAAATTTCAGGTACCCATGTTAGGAGTTCATAAATAATATAGTCACTGCTACCCAAATGTAGCAGAAACCACCTCTTTATTCCTTTGCTTAAGAAATTCATATCACCAGAATTGAGGATAAAAATTCCTTTCTCCTAAACTTTGGGTTTCCCAAATCTTGCTGCTTTTTTCATAGCCCCTGACACACAAAATAGAAGTTGAAAATCAAGGGTATCTGAAATGAAGTAAAAGTAAATGAAGAGGTTTGATAAAGGCCTCTCTCTAACATTGCTGGGATACACACCATAAGCAGCCTCTGGGTTGTCTCTGTGCGTGTGCATGCCATTGTAGAGATGTTTCATGGTTCTGAGTCATAGAATGATATCAACTAAGGATTAGATTTAGAAAATTCCTGGGAGGCTGGATCAGTTTTCAGGCTAACCAAAAGATGTGGTCCAGCATTTACCAAACTTCCTAGGGCCATCCTTTAGATAAGACTAAACAGAAATGCAGGATAGATTCGTGGGATCTCCTTCAATCCCAAATTTCATCTTGGGGTTGAAACCAGATCACTCATGATCACAGAACAAAATGATATTTACCTTTGTGGGACTGTCATGCCACAGAACTGACCTATTACTTGATTTTTATCTTCCAGAATTATATAATTTCCACAGGGCACCATCCAGAAAGAAATACACCAGAGATGCCCAATTCTTTTGGTAAATCTCTGTATTGGAACAAAATGAAAACTTCAAAGAGACAGACATAAAATTTATACACACATTAAGAAAGGTTGTCATGGCAACTTTGCTGGAAGATATGTATTTTTAAATCCAAGTAAATTTAGCATTCAAAACACATTTGCATCTCCCTCAAAGGTTCTGTATCAAGAATATTTTAAAAAATCATTTTCAAATTCCTCTGAATCTATACTTCTTAGAAAAGAAAGAAAAAGAAAGCTTAACAAAATCCTATGGATATAACAGTGATATAGACTTAATAAAATTATTTCCAGAAGGCCTTATATAAGAAAAATCCAAAGTGAAAGCCTAATAACATTATGCTTCTATTCCCAAAAGCTCTACCTCAATATCTCCCTCTACATTCTTAAATTGTTAGCAGGCAACACCATTTAATCTCTAAAAGATCCTTTTAAGCTCTAAAAGTTAATTATCTATTAGCTGATGACCTTGCAACATAAGCAACCAATCATGATATTGAACACACCTACTACTAGAATGTAATTAAGTAACAATTCATACAAGTAACTAAGCACTGTCCCCCAATTCTCAGGGTTATGGGAATCAAAACCAAGTCCTTAAGTGGTTGGAGGTGGTATGGGAGGATTAGATGAACTCTAGAAAGGGCAAAGGGGAGAGAGAGGAAGGGAGGAGGCATATGGGTAGGAAAGACAGTGGAATGAGATGGACATCATTACCCTAAGTACATGTATGAAGACACAAATGGTGTGACTCTACTTCGTGTACAACCAGAGATACGAAAAATTGTGCTCTATATGTGTAATATGAATTGTAATGCATTCTGCTGTCATATATAACAAATTTTTAAAAATTAAAAAAAAAAAACAAATCCTTGCACATGCAGAGCCAATGCTCTACCACTGATAGCTCCCCGCCCCCATGTTGTTCTTCAACTTAGAAAAACTAATTCTTAGCAGTCTCTTCTCACTTTAAAAAGTTTCTGAGTATTCCTATTAGCCTTTTGAGTTTTCCTTGATGAGATACCTGATTTCTCTTGCTCACACAATGAAAATAAAATTATGGTTTGACTCTTGGTCATTTCTTGTTGCTTCTTCCACCACCACAGCCTGTAACTGAAGTCTCTTGTGTTCCTTGCTGTGTAGGCATCTACAGTTTCCTTTGTGGACTGCTTCCAAACCCAGATCTGGAGAGTTGTGGAGGGTTCAAGATGGTTAAGTTTTGGGACATGAGACTGTGGGGTTCTCCCTCTTGGGGTGAAAAAAAAACCCCACAAGACAAATTCAATAATAATGTCATGCTTGCTTTTGTTGTTTTTTCCTTTGTTGCTGGAGATTGAATTAGGGCTTTGTGCAAGCTCTGTTGCTGAGTTACATCCCCAGCCTGCCATGCTCAGGATTATAATATAGCAGAGAGTTGTGCAGTGAGTTATTCCCTGTGCCTAGCAATAGGAATATAGCAGTGAGTTCTGGCACTTGCTATCTGGGTTAAGAATGGAAAAGTGAGGACAGAGCTGTGAGTCAGTAGAGCTACTGGGTGCTGGGCTCTGAAAGAGAAAAGAAATAGAGCTAAAAGATATGGAATTCAGGAATTTAGGTGGATCGTTTCTAAGACTATAGTCACTCTTACACTAGAAAATCTCTGGACCACGTTTAAGGAACTAGCTAAGAGATATTCCTTAAAACCATTTACCTCTAGATCATATTGAACAAAATGGGTTCTGTTCTATAGAATCTTCATGAAATATTGGCTTTATTTATTTATTTATTGCAATACTGGGGATTGAACTCGTGGGTTCTCTATTACCGAGCAATATCCTTTGTACTTTTTATTTATTTATTTTTGAGACACAGTTTCTCTACATTGCTGAGACTGGGCTAGAACTTGTGATCCTCTTACCTCAAACTCCTGCATAGCTGAGATTACAGGTGTGTACCACTGCGCCCGGCTAAAACATCAGTTTTATAGGAGCAGGTTTTATAGTGTTATTGGGGAAAAATTTTGGAACATTCTGGTTAATCATATGAAACTAGTTTTCTTTGTAGTAGGAATTCTCAAATTCCAATATTAATATGAATTAAATCTGAGAAAGAACATACTGAGGAGACTCTAGAGAATGAAAATGATCAAGGAAACTTTTCGAGGATCGCACAGGATAGCATCCTCTGAGACACTCTTTGGGAAATAATGTTCTCACTAATTGTGCAAAAAAACATTGATCCAAGAATGTACCCTGGCCAGGCGCGGTGGCACACGCCTGTAATCCCAGGGGCTTGGGAGGCTGAGACAGAAGGATCTCAAGTTCAAAGCCAGCCTCAGCAATGGCAAGGCACTTAGCAACTCAGTAAGGCCCTGTCTCTAAATAAGATACAAATAGGACTGGGGATGTGGCTCAGTGGTTGAGTGTCCCTGAGTTCAATCCCCAGTACCCTCCCCGCCAAAAAAAAAGAACAATGATGATCTAATGATAGAAGGGACAAATAACAACTAGCTTACAAACTATTTTGATTGATATTTTGTATAACCTATTGTAAGTCTATGTTCACAGCTAATATGGGTGTCGCTGAAAGATGGTTACACAACATCTTGTAAAATATTTCTAGTAATGGGGTACTTTCCATTTCACAAACTACTCTTAGCATTAGAGGTAGTTTGACTATCTGAAATTTTTTCAACTACATGACTTCAATAATTCTCTTTACTTTATTGAAAATACACTAAAGACCCCAATAAAAATTACCTTATTTATTCAAAAATATTTATTGGTTGCAGTTTTGGGGAGAGGCACTTTACTACTTTGTCTGTAGTTACAATGGTGAAATAACAAAGTTTCATTACATAGCAATGCTTGTAAAGAAATACAAATTTTTATTTCTGATGTAAATAATCTTTTTTAAAAAAATTACCAAACAGGATATATGTAACTTATTTGCTTATTGCATTTTTTCAAATGCAATCAATATTTAGAAAAACAGCCAGCAGGGCTAGGTTGTGTGGCTCAGTGGCAGAGCATTTGCCTTGCACATGTGAGACACTGGGTGTGATCCTCAGCACCACATAAAAATAAAGCAATTGTGTCCAACTAACTAAAAAAAAAAAAAAGACAGCCACCACATTGTAAACTAAGTAAGTGGAGAGTGAAACTGGAAGAAGAAATGTCATTTCTTGCCTTTTTACTTATTGTTTGGATGTTTTACAAAGTAGCTGCCCCCTCAAATTTTACAATTACCAATTTAATTATCAAATTCTATAAATCAAACATTAAAATTGATATATATTTTAGAAGTCTATTCCTTTTTTTTTAAGGCTATTTACTGAGACCATTACAAATATGAAGCTACAAAAGAAAATGTTTAAAATACATTAAGTAGGCTTGGGGTACAGCTCAGTGGAAAAGTGCTTGCCTAGCATAGGTCCTAGGTTTGATCCTCAGTGACCTCCCCCCATAGCAGTGAGAGTAGACCATACTGTTATGAAGGTACTATGTGGAAATTAAAAAAAATTAAACCATTACAGAAATGTGGCTGGGTTGGTAATATTCTTTGTCCATTTATAAATTTCTTTAACTATTAGTATTTTATTATTTTTAATCATTTTCAGTTATTATGAAGAATACATCAGGAGCTGGGGTTGTGGCTCAGTGGTAGAGCACTTACCTAACATATGTGAGGTCCTGGGTTCCATTTTCAGCACTGCATATAAATAAATAAAATAAAGGTCCATTGACAATGAAAAAAAATATGTATTTTAAAAAGAGAAAGAATACATCATATTGCTCAACTCCTCCTTAAAATTAAATACACCAACAGTTAGGCGTGGTGGCACACTTCTGTAATCCCAGCAGCTCAGGAGGCTGAGGCAGGAGGATTGGGAGTTCAAAGCCAGCTCCAGCAAGTCAGTGAGACCCTGTCTCTAAGTAAAACACAAAAACGGGCTGGAGGTTCTGGGGTTGTGGGTCAGTGGTAAGAGTGTTTGCCTAGCATGCTTGAGACACTGGGTTTGATCCCCAGCACAGCAACATAAAAATAAACAAATAAAATAAAGGTATATGTCCATCTACAACTAAAAACAAAATATTAAAAAAACAAAAAGGGTGGGCTGGTGTTGTGGCTCAGCAGTAGAGCACTCACCTTGCACATGTGAGATACTGGGTTCGATCCTAAGCACCACATAAAAATTAATAAGTGATATAAAGGTATTGTGTCTAACTACAACTAAAAAATAAATATTAAAAAAAAGGGGTTGGGGATGTGGCTCAATGGTTAAGGGCCCCTGGGTTCAATCCCAAGTAATAAAAACAAACAAACAAAACCCGTAAATACACAAATAAATAAACCCCACTGAAGATATTAAGATAATGTGATGTTCAGACACTTGCTTTTTCTTATCTAGTATTTGCCCATCTTCATTTACAGGCAAAGAGACACTGTCTTCGAACCTACTATTATGCTCTAAGAACTAAAAGAGATAGGTATATAGAGCACTCGGTTCATAACAAATGCTTGTTCCACCCCGCTCTACTTTCATCCTAGTTATTAGTGCCAGTTTGTCTCATCTGTTCCCTATTAGAGCGGGTCACTCAACAGCTGAAAGCAATACTGCACTATTTGTTTGGGGTGTTTTTTTGGCTGTGTTGATTTACTTGGACTTCTGTTATCAACATTAATCATTAGTCTTGATAACTTACAAAACAGGCACAGCAGAGTTAAGGAGAAAATTAAGGTCACTTGTAACAATTTGTTGATAAAAGCCTGCCTTTGAAGATGGTGCCCATTTCTCTGCCAGGTTTCTTCCCACAGCAACTAAAGGACCATTGCTAAACTACTTGATACCATCAGTCACATCTTTGGTTTTACATATAGTATTATTGTTTTTGAAGTGATTTTTCAATTTGTCAACATAACCATATGTAGAAAAAAGAAAATTTTGTGGGATAACAATATGTTTTATGGATTTGGAGGGAAAAAAGGTGACTTCAAAGAAGAAGTATATATAATCTATTAGTTTAAAATCTATTTCTATGTAGTGATGAGGTTCAAACCCAGTACCTTGCACATGCAAGGTAAGTACTCTACCACTGAGCTACAACCCTAGCCCCTGGAACTCTGTTTTTGATTTTCAAGATTCCTATATGATTTTCATAACAAAAAATAGGTCTTGTTGAAACAATAACAATTTTAAGCTAAAGAAAACAAATATTGGCATATGGGCTATAATAGAATCTATTTCTAGAAAATAATGGAACTACACATTCCTGGGCCAGATAATAGCACCTGAGTTTTTCCCAAACACACACAGAATTAATTTTGCCTTAAATTTTACAGTCCATACAAATATTTTGTGCTTATGCTTTTAACAATAAGCTTCTTAATTATCAAAAAGAATGTAGATCAAGTCAGGTGCATGCCTGTAATTCTAGTTACTCAGAGGCCTGAAAAAGAAGGATCACAAGTTTGAGGCCAGTTTTGGCAAATTCAATATCAGCCTGAGCAATTAAGCAAGAATCTGTCTCAAATGAAAATAAAATAAGATAAAACAAACACCCAGTACCTTAAAAAAATGTAAATAATTATCAGTGAAGAAATAAAGCTATAAAACTTTATAATGAATTAAAAAGCTACCTCTGGTTAAAGGAAGAGTCCAGCTAGAATCACATACTATAAACCATTAGTGACACTGAGGCTACCAAGATTTCAACGAGTAAATATAAAAAGCCAAGTAAGAGCAACAGTGCATGGATAATTTATTTTGAACATGTTGTTAACAAACATTTTTTGGTGTCGGGTACTGTATCTAAGGCCTGTGCATGCAAAACACATGCTTTACCACTGAGTACCCCCACCCTGTAGCCTGACAGTATAGTTTTTTCAATCATCTAGAAAATGATTTTTTAAAATGTTTTAAAGTAGTAATGTAACTATGGACAAAATATGCTCATATAGCTGGATTCCTCTTTGTTCTTTTCTCCTTGATTCTAATCATTACCAGTTATTTGCATCTGCTTCATATATTGGTAATTACACTATAGAGTTCTGACTCTGGTTCCCTCACCCTGTTTTTGCCTTAATAATGCTTATCAGATGTCACTTGCTTTAAAATTCCATCCATCTCATCTCATCTGATCTCACTGGCACCTGGTTTACATATCAATTGTCTACTGTAACCTTCCACTGCCAGTTTTCTATCCACTCACTGAACTGGGATAACAAAGGAAGATGCTCTGTATACACAAAACCAGAGTAAACATAGATAGGAGGGGACAGATTTAATAATGCCCTTTAAAAAACAATAATAACTAGGAGTAGATTTCACTTAAAGTTTTAGAATTTAAATTATTCCATAATCTTTTCCCAGAAATAAAAGTTGCATCTAATTAAATTGTATGTTAGCTCCTTAGAAGTGGGTCTAAAATGCCCCTTTTGGTGGGCACAGTGGTACACGCCTGTAATCCCAGCAGCTTGGAAGGCTGAGGCAGGAGAAACACAAGTTCAAAGCCAGCCTCACCAATTTAGTGAAGCCCTAAGCAACTTAGCAAAACCCTGTGTCAAAACATAAAAAAGGTTTAGTGGGGCTGGGGTTGTGGCTCAGCAGTAGAGCACTCACCTAGCATGTTCGAGGCACTGTGTTCGATCCTCAGCACCACATAAAAATAAATAAATAAAATAAAGGTATTTTGTCCAACTACATCTAAAAAAAAGGGGGAGGGTGGCTAGGGATGTAACTCAGTGGTTAAGTACCCTATGTTCAATCCCCAGTACCAATAAATAAATAAAATTAAAATCAAAAAATAAAATGCCTCTTTCACTCATCTCACTGAGAAGCTATTTATCCACTTGCTATTTAGCCATAAACACAGCATAAAATAACTTGATAGCTAGGATTTTTTTTTCTTTTTCTTTTTTTTTCTGGTGTTGGGGGTTAAACTCAGGGCCTCCTGCATCCTAGGCAAATGCTCTGTCCCTAAGCCTTAGGCCCATAATCTTGACACTAAAATAACAAATGAAATTCACCACTGTTAAAAATAACCCACTTGCAAACAATTATCATTTTTCTTCCTTTCCTCTATCTGTACATGGCATTTTTCCTTCAGTAGCCTAAAAATAAACATTAAAAAAAAAAAAAAGGAAAAGAAATTCTTCATGAATAGTGTAGCCAAAAAAACTGACTAAAATACAATGTTTTGGGGCCTAGGGGTAAAGCTCATTGGAACAGCACCAGCCCAGCATGCATGAGGCCCTGGGGTCGATTCCCCAGACAAAAACTAACCCTTCCCCCAATATAATGCTATCAATAAAGTATTACATATAAAATTTAATCAGTATTAAAGTGTATTCTGAAAGACACTTAAAATACTCCCCAAGCCTTATTATTTCTCTGCAATAAGACTGAACATTTTTCTAAAAGTTCATTAGCCATTTACTCCTGCAAAAGATGACTGTTCTTATATTTTGTCCATTTATCTATGGTATATTTTTATTACCAACTTGTATGAGCTCTTCATGTATAATATGGTTATTATCCCTCTCATGTTATGCATATCTTTCATATATATATATATATATATATATATATATATATATATATATATAAGCTATAAATGGACATAATACCTTTATTTTATTTTTATGCGAGGCGAGCCCTCTACCACTGAGCTACAACCTCAGCCCCATCTTTGTTTTCTTTTTCCCCAATTTTGGTTGTGATCTATGGTCAGTGCCCTTTCCTTTCTTACTGACCAGTTCATTACATTTAGCATACGAGATAATACAATAATAAATTCCAAATGTTTCTTTCATGGATGAAAATTAGTGGAATAATATGCTGCCAAGATTTGCAACAAAACAGAAGAAGACTTAATCTTAGTTTATCACACAGGAGAAATGTTTCAAAACACATTAAAGATGAGTGTGGTGGCACGCACCTGTAATCCCAGCAGCTGGGGAGGCTGAGGCAAGAGGATCACAAGTTCAAAGCCAGTCTCAAAAACTTAGCAAGGCCCTAAGCAACTTAGTGAGAACCCGTATCAAAATAAAAAATAAGGGTTTTGGAGTTGTACTTCAGTAGTTAAGCACTCCTGGTACTAAAAAAGACACACACACTACACTGAAGCCCAGCAAAAGTGGTGCATGCTGGTAATCCCAGCTATTTGGGGACTGAGGCTAGAGGATCACAAATCTGAGGCCAGCTTCAATCATTTAGCAAGACCCCGTCTCAAGGGAAAAAAAAGTGTTTGGGATGTAGCTCAGTGGTAGAGCACCCCTGGTACTGGTGGAAACAAACAAACAAAACGTACACTTTCAGAAGCAACTACATTATTTTCCAAATGACTGAGAACTGTTCAAAACGATGAGCCTTGTGTAAACCATTAAATGAACCCTGTGTGTACGGAGGCAAACAAACATCAAATGCAAGGTAGACTGGTCAATGAACAATTCAAACCTAATAAAAATGATTAAAACACAAACTAATAAACAGTCCCAAAATAAAAACAATCCAGGAAATAAAACTATAGGAAGTTCCATTATTTCCCTTTAAGGTGATTTATTGGAAGTATAAAAAGGAGTCAGGACTTCTTGGTGTGTGGAGACCGAATTTTTTTTGTATGTGTGAATATTCAAAAACATGATTCCCCAACTTGTTCAAAATAATTTCTCTGTTCAAGAATTTTAGAGATCAAGCTAAGAAAAAGAAGATGAAAATCATGGCTTAGAAAATCATAAAAACTAAAAGTAGAAAATTAAAGCTGCCTATTAAAATTATCCATATACTGGTGCAATAAGGATAAATGTGTATCATGCCCTAAGAAAATAATATATATAAAAATCCAAATTTACATAATGAAGTAATAGTGTTTATGTTATAATACTTGGTTTATAAAAGGATCCAACACATATTTTCTAAATGGCCATTTTCCTCAGTCGATTTAACAAAGATTTTAAATGTTTACAATTTTAATGTCTCTTTGTGACAGTGATCCAAGCTTCTTCCCTTGATGATGTGACCAGTTCATACTTTGTTTCAATAACTTGTCCCTCTACAGAGAGTAGGCGCAGTCTCTTCACCAACACACTGAGAAGCACAGTGGTCACCATATATGCAAACCTAGTCAGAAAGAAAGGCAACCAGTTACCAAATTTTCAAATTATACCCTTTTTATATAGATTCATTATTCTCATCAATAGTAATTGTCAAAATTACAAAAGGAGAGTCTGGTATTTTTTTCTTTCTCATTTTTTCTATCATTCACCTTAACTCTGGGCATTCCTGTGTGCCTGAAAATCCAAGCAAAGAGAAAGTTTTCATTGCTGATTCATCATCAAAGCGATCTGGATCAAACCTAAAGAGAAAATTGGGGGTTAATTATAATATAGCTCCACTGGCATTTTAAATATTGACATAAAAGAACACAAGTTTGTAATAAAATCTAACATTTGCTAAAAATAAAAAGTGCTGTCATGTTATATTTCATTATGCTGCCAAATTACACTTCATGATTTTCAAATAGATGTAAAATACGTTTCTCAGAACTAAGAAGGAATGCTACATAGGTTTATATCATTTCATGAGATACAAGGATAATTCACACAAAAATCAAATAATGAATATTAAATAATTTTAAGGCCTGTTACATAGGATCAATATGTGGGCATTTTACATTGCTTCTTTAGTTAAATTTTATTTCTTAAAACTGGAGGCTCAGGCCTTAAAATTATATTTATCAATTATACTATACCCAGATTTATTAATAATTGAGGAAAATGAAGGCGCTAGGAAAAGTTTTTTGTTTTTAGAATTTTGTTCTGTAAATTGTCACTGCAGAAATGAATATCTTAAAAATAACTTACTACCATGCAACATAAAAATTCCTTCCAAATACAGAGGTATTTTAAAAAAGCAAAACTCTGAAGTTTAAAAAGAGGAAAAAGAGCAGGGGGCAGAAGATGGGGGCAGGCTGGATGAGGTGGTGTATGCCTATTGTCCCCAAGATGAAACCCTATATTCAAACTCAAACCTGTATAGCTGTTCACAGCAGTTTCATTCACAGTAGCAAAACACTGGAAACAACTCAACTTTAGCAGATGAATGGTGAATAAATTCTAGTATACCAATACAATGGAATCTTACTCAACCATAAAAGGACATAAAACAATCTACCTGGACCTTGAAGACATCCAGTTTAGTGGAAAAAGTCACTCTCCAGATCCTCTTCTGTGTGAATATTATATTTACCCTATAAGTAAACCATTGTGTCCAACAGGTGCATCTCACTTCTATATATATTTCTGTTAGAGTAAATTTTTGCTTAAGGTACCTACAAGAATGAATCCTTAGATGAGTAAGGAAGTGCCCAGCTTCAGAAATCTTTGCTTCAGAAAAATGTCACCTATATCTCCTAAGTGTGATTACATTCTAAAATGAGGGCTTGGATACAGCTCAGTGGTAGAGCACTTGCCTAATGTACAAGGGGCCGGGATTCGAGCCCTAGGACAATAGGAAAAAAAGAAAAGAAAGAAAAGCCTAGAAATGATTACCACTGTGCATCTATTCCTTTTAATATTTTCAATCTGTAACCTAGATTCTCTGAGCAGTTGCATGATAGCAATACTATCAAAAGTTATAATAAAGGCTGGGCATGGTGGTGCACACCTATAATCCCAGCAGCTCAGGAGTCAAAGGCAAGAGGATTGTGAATTCAAAGCCAGCCTCAGCAATTTAATGGGACCCTAAGCAACTCAGCGAGATTCTGTCTCTAAATAAAATATAAAAAAGGGATGTGGCTCAGAGGTTAAGCATCCCCGGATTCAATCCCAAGTACAAAAAAAAAAAGTTATAATATAATTTCTATAGTTTTCATAGAATACTTAAAACTTATCAAAATCTTGGCACTTTTTCCACAAGTATTTTTTAAAATCTTAAAACTTATAATTTTATTTTTTTGTAATTATAGGTATATATTTTCCATCAAAGCATTTTTCATTTTCCTATAAAAGCCATTAGAAATTTAAAATTTACCTAAATAATTTTTACTTAGCAAAATTTGAATTGGCTGGTGTTAAATTTATTAAGATTTTCCTTTAATGTCATTGTAATACTAAAAACTAAAATGACAAGAACATTTAACACACCCATCCTTACACTCCAGATTTAGGTCCACAGTACTTCAACTCTGCCCCTTGGCATTTCACACTGAGGTCTTACCTGAAGTCAACTGATAACCCTTTTCCAGGGCACTAAATCTATCCTTTTTTGGGGGGGTGGGGTACTGGGGATTGAACTCAAAGGTACTCGACCACTGAGCCATATCCCCAGTCCTATTTTGTACTTTATTTAGAGACAGGGTCTCACTGAGTTGCTTAGTGCCTCTTGATTGTGGAGGCTGGCTTTGAACTTGCAATCCTCCTGCCTCAGCCTCTAAAGCCACTGGGATTACAGGCATGTGCCACCACACCCAGCTCAGGGCACTAAATCTAGACTACTATCTTAAGTCAGACTTTACTAGATGGCCATCTATGAGGCAAACAACAGTAGCTTTCTTCTTTACCTTTGCCTTCCTGTTTACCTGCATGAGACACATACACACAACATCTATTTCTGAATTTTACTAAGGAGCTGAAAATAGTTGAGAGAAATCAAAAGGGAGGGGCAACATAAAAACAACCCATTTAGGGGCTGGGGCTGTGTCAAGTGGTAGCATGTTCGCCTAGCACGCTCGCCTAGCATGTGTGAGGCACTGGGTTCGATTCTCAGCACCACATAAAAATAAAATAAAGATATTGTGTCCACCTAAAACTAAAAAACAAAAAAATAAAAAACTACCCACTTAACAATAAAAGAATTCCAAAATTCTACTGAAATTAAAGATAGTTGGAGAGATTAGATAACTGAACAGATCTTAGGATAGAAGTAGTAATAAAAGGGACGGCAGCAGAAGATTCATGGAGACAAGAAGCAGTGAATGAACACAGAAAGGGAAGGCAGTGCTTTCTGTTGCATGTCACAGCACACTGAATTTCTCCTTAAAAAAAGGAATGAAAGCATGCAAACACACAAAAAATAGAAAATCACAAAGACAATAAACAGAAATTTCATACTTGTGTGGTGATGGCCAAGTATTAGGATCTTGAAGTACCACACCGAGCGCATAAAGAACAAGAGTCTGAAAAAAAATATCAATCTAGTTAATCAAGGCCTAACAGAGACAAAATGACTCCCAGAAAGTTAGTTCATCCTAAATATCTTTTAATACAGATAATGAAACAAAATAAAAGTATATAATAATAGAAGAAAACACTTCATTATTTTGGTGATGGAGTGGGCCTACCTAAAAGTCACAAAATCTGAAAGGAAGGTAGGAATAACAGACTTAACTGTATGAAAATTTAAAATCTGCATTCAGTTAAAAACAGCAACAACAACAAAAAACCATAAATAATAGTAAAAGATAACAGGAACCGGGCATGGTGCCAAATACATGTAATCCCAGAGACTGAGGAGGCTGAGGCAGGAGGATCATATGTTTGAGATTAGCCTCAGCAACTTGTCAGACCCTAAGCAACTTAGTGAGAACCTGTCTCAAAATAAAAAATAAAGAAAGGGCTGGGGAGATAGCTCAGTGTTTAAGTGTCTCTGGATTCAAGCTCCAGTACCAAAAAAACCAAAATAAAATGAAGTAAAATAATTATCTTTCATTTAATAATGGGTAGTATTTATCGGGCACTTTATACAATTAAAAAAAAATTTAAGTAATTAAATGAGTTGAACATATCCAAAGTTTCCTACCTCTTTAGGAATAATAAATTGGTTAATTTTTCCTTCAATATCTTGAAGCCGGGCAGAAACTGGGGTCAATTTGGCAGTCCTAACAGTTTCACAAAGCACTTGCCGACAATATCTGTTTAAAAAAAAATTTAAACATATTAATGAAGTCAGTAAACATGATATGCCACATTAACAGAATGAAGATCAAAAATCATCTCTCTATAGAAGCAGAGAAAGCATTTGATAAGATTCAATATCCCACCAGGCACAGTGGCTTACTACATCTGTAATCCCAGAGACTTGGGAGGTTGAGGCAGGAGGATAGCAAGTTCAAGACTAGCCTCAGCAACTCAGCAAGACATTATCTCAAAATTAAAAAAAAAAAAAAAAAAAGACAAAAGAAATTCAACATTGCTTTTTTGTAAAAACACTGCACAAATTAAGCATGGAAGGAATGTACCTCAACAAATAAAGGCCATATATAACAAGCCAACTGTTAACATTACTTTGGGGAAAAGCTGAAAGCTTTCTGAGATCTGGAACAAGGATATCCACTTTTACCACTTTTATTGAAGACAGTACTGAAAGTCCCAGCCAGAGCAAGCAGGCAAAAGAAGAAATAAAAGGCATCAAAATTTGAAAAGAAGCAGGGCATGGTGGTGCACGCCTGTAATCCCAGCAGTTTGGGAGGCTGAGGCAGGAGGATTGAGAGTTCAAAGCCAAACTCTGAAAAAGCGAAGGGCTAAGCAACTCAGTGAGACCCTGTCTCTAAATAAGATACAAAATGGGGCTGGGGATGTAGCTAAGTGGTTGAATGCCCCTGAGTTCAATCCTCAGTACCAAAAAAAAAAAAAAAAAAAAATTGGAAAAGAGGAATCACATTGTCACTCCTTGCAGATGATGTGATCATATATACAGAAAAACCCAAATTACACACACACACACACACACGCCTATTAGAACAAATTCAGCAAAGCTGCAGGATACAAGAATCAATATGCAAAAATAAATAAGGTTGCTATATACTAATAGCTAATGATCTGCAACAGAAACCAAGAAAGCTATCCCATTTATAATAGCTACCAAAAAAAGAAAAGATAAAATGTAGGAATAAATTTTACCAAAAGGTCTCTAGAGTGAAAATTGTAGAATATTGATGAAATGATTGAAAAGTACACACACAAAAAATGGAAAGATATACTGTATTTGTGGGTCAGAAACTCAATATTATTAAATGTCCATATTACCCAAAGAGATCTAAAGAGTCAATGTAATCTCTGTCAAAAGACAATGGCATTCTTCACAGAACTAGAAAAAAATAATCCTTATTTGTAGGGAACCTCAAATAGCCAAAGCCATCTTGAGCAAAAAAAGAACAAAGGGGCTGGGGTTGTAGCTCAGTGGTAGAGTGCTTGCCTAGCATGTGTGAGGCACTGGGTTCGATCCTCAGCACCATATATAAATAAATAAAGGTCCATCAACAACTAGTAAAATATTAAAAAACAAAACAAAACAGGAACCTTAAAAAAAAAAGAGCAGAGAACAAAGCAGGAGGCATACTGCTTGACTTCAAAATGTATACAGAGCTACAGTAATCAAAATATCATGGTGTTGGCATAAAAATACACATGGACCAAGGAACAGAATAGAGAGCCTAGAAGTAAATCCTTGCACTGAAGAAAGCACAGTCTTTTTAATAAATGGTGCCAGGAATACTGAATATCCTCATGCAAAAGAATGAAACCAAACCCCTATCTCTCACCAGTAACAAAAATCAAGTCAAAATGAATTAAAGATATGCTTAATCTGATTTAAACATTATATAATACATATATGTATCAAAACATTATAGCACCCCATTAATATCAATAAATCAACATAATTTTTACATTTTCATATGCCAGTTAAAAATAAATTTAATAAAAAAACTAAAACAATTTTGAACATGTTTATTTTGGGAGTAGCAGTTTAAAATTTCCTTACATTTTAATGTCATTCCACCACTTCTCAAACCTTCCTAATTTGAAATAATCTCATCATAATTTTTACTTGCTTAGAGATAGGTACATAAATTCCAGAAGAATAAAAATTTAAATGAAACCACATCTAGGGCTAGAGTTGTAGCTCAGTGATACAGCACACAGGAGAGGTGCTGGGTTCAATTCTTAGCGCCACATAAAAATAAAAAAAAGGTATTGTGTCCATCTACAACTATCTATATATATATAAAACAAACAAAATACACTGTAGCTGGGTGTGGTGGCACATGCCTGTAATCCCAGTGGCTCAACAGGACGAGGCAGGAGGATCGAAGTTTTGAAGCCAGCCTCAGCAACTCAGTGAGGCTCTAGGCAACTTAGTGAGACCCTGTCTCAAAACTTAAAAATTTTAAAAAAAGGCTGGGGACCTAGCTCAGTGGTCAAGTACCCTTGGGTCAATCCCTGGTACTAAAAAATTCACAAAAAAATACAAATGGCCTGAAGATAAATGAAATTATACTCAACCAATCAAAGGAGTTTTTTTTCACTTGCAAAATTGGCAAAGATGAAAAAGAATGACAATAGGCATTACTAATAAAAAGTGGAGAAAAAGACATCTCATATTCAGTTGGTGGAAGTACAAATTGGTATGACCTTTCTAATGCATAATTTGACAACATATCAAAATATTGTAATATCCTAATGAGAAAAATAAAAGCTAAAATGTACTACAATCTTGCCATAAGTCAATTCACATAAGTTTTTTTTTTTTTTTCTTTTTTGGTACCAGGGATTAAACACGGGTTGCTGAACCACTGATCTACCATGCCCAGATCACTTAAATATTTTAGACATAGGATCTCACCTAATCCTTACAAAAATCCTATGGAAATTCTTATTATTCTGAATGTACAGATTTAAATTAAAAGCAACTGTTAGGTTCACACAGCAGGTAAGTGGTACTGATAGGATTCAAACACATCTGTCTTACTCGATAGCTCTTAATCTTAACCACTGTGCTGCTGTAAAATCTCCGTAAACTGTAAGTTCACTTCTAGGCACTTACTATACAGAAAGAATTAGAAATACTAACAAAAGAAGTAAGCATAGGAATGTTGTAACTATGCATAGTAATATTTCTAATATAAAAAAAGAAACAAAAGTAGGAAACATCACTTTTCCCTTCCTTTTTTGAACAAATATTTATTGGGGACCTACTCACACTTGAAGACTGCTAGATAATGAGATACAACAGTGAACAATCCAGATAATGCCCAAGGATGTCAGAATCTTATTGACAGAGGGACAGAGAGTGCAGGGGACATATATGTTATGATAAAGGAAGTTCAGGGTATTATGAGAACACATAGCAAGAATACCTAATTGAGGGAAAGGGCTCTGCAGAGAAATAAAAACTTAGTTTAAGACCTGCAAAAAAATTTTTTGGAAGTTAGCTAGAGGAGAGAGGAAAAGAAAGAATCTACACACAGAAATAGTCTATGCAAATGCCAGGAAAGAAGAGCGCTGCACCCCAATGGTGGCACATGCCTGTGATTCTCCTGCCTCAGCCTCCCAAACAGCTGGGATTACAGGTGTGATCCCACATATCTTTATTTTTAAAGGGGCCTAAGTGACTGCAGTGTGCAGCCACAGGTTCCAGCAGCACTTCGGAGAATGAATTGGAGAGAAGCAATATTCAAGGCTTTCTATCACTATACTTTTGTCTTTTCTAGAATTTCATGTAAATTAAATCATACCATAGGCAGTCTTTTCTTTTTTTCCTCTCAGTACTGGGGATGGTAGGGATACTTTACCACTGAACTACATCCCCAGTCTTTTTATTTTTCACTTTGAGACAGGGTCTGGCTAAGCTGTTAAGGCTGGCTTCAAACTTGTGATCCTCCTGCTTCAGTCTCCCAAACTGCTGGAATTATAGGTGTGTGCCACTGCACTAACAGTAGAAAGTCTTTCGTTTTACTTCCTTTACTTATCATAATGATATTCACCCATTTTGCTGTGTACATTGACATTATATTTCTTTTATTATTTTGTAGTGTTACATGTTATGGTTATACCAATATTTGCTTATCTATTTAACAGTTGGTAAAAACTGAACTGATTCCATTTTTGAGCTATTTGGAATATTCTGCTATGAACATTTGCAATACTGGTCCTTACATGAACATGTTTTCATTTCTCTTGACTAATTACCTACAAGTGATTACTGACTCATATGGAAAGTGTATACTTAACTTCATAAAATTCTACCACACTATTTCCCAACTAGCTGTACCATTGTGTATTACCACTAACAAACATGGATGTCCCAACTGCCTAACAGTAATATTTTATACAGGCTCATTAAAGGTTCCCAGAACTACTTTATTATTTAAAACAGGAGATTAAATTATCCATTCAAATCTATATGTAAATATTTGAAATCCTATAAAATTATACAGGTTTCCTAGATATTAACATTAGCTTTAAATTAGATAAACTAATTCAAATTTGCTTTTTAATGATCTCTTCTTCCTTTTTAGTTCTTACCTGAGATGCTCAATTTTCTCTGGAGTAATAGGACCCTTCCCAAATACTTGGTCTACCTCTTCATGTAGTTTTCTTTGAACTTCTTCAGAAGTAGTTAAAAAACAGATTGCCCAGGTGCACACTAAGTGAAAAATTATAACAATGAAAACAGTTAATTCATATTTGGGGCATATAACAAGAAAAAACTAGTGGTTTGGGATTTTTTAAATTTCATTTTTCCCTCCCCTGATATAGACGATACATAAGTATTACCAAAGAATAAAATTTTGACAGGATTTGTATTTCATTAAATAGAACATGAATATTTATAGAGGTTACCAAAAACAGGTAGTGCAAGTAACAAGTCATTCAATGCATTTTACCTTAGGTAAAATGATGATAGTAAACTTTCTATCTGGGGAAGAGTTCAATGTTGGTAACTGTGAGGAATGATATTGTTCACTTGACCTTGTAAAATTTAAAAGTTGACTTATCAGTTCATTCACTAATGAATGAATGACCCATATATATCAAACTAGCAGGATATCTGTCTGAATATCAATATTCTAATTTTTTTTTTTTGGCTTGTAATGGTAAATATACTGGCTCCAAGAACTGTGACTGATTATTGCTTAGGACAGTCGTTCTCAAAAATCACCTGGAAGTTGGTTGATGCCACAATTTCACACGTACAGATTCTAATTTAGTAGGTCTGGGGTGAGGTCCATACATCCATACTTTTAACAAGTATGACAGTTACATCTCTTTTTTTATGTTTGTGGTATTGGGGATTTTAAACTCAGAGCCTCACACATGCTAGGCAGACGCTCTACCACTGAGACTGTCTTTGTTTTTTGGTTTTTTTTTTTGGTACTGGGTATTGAACCCACAGGCACTTAACCACTGAGCCAAACCCCCAGCCTTTTTTTGTCTGTTATTTAGAGATGGTGTCTTGCTGAGTTGCTTAGCAACTTGCTAAATTGCTGAAGTTGGCTTTGAACTTGAGATCCTCCTGTCTCAGCCTCCCAAGCCATTGGGATTACAGGCCTGCACCACTGCACCTGGCTCTGAGACTGCCTTTTATTTCAAGACAAGTTCTCACTAAATTGCCAAGACTTGCCCTGAATTTGCAATCCTCCTGGCTTGGCCTCCCCAGAAGCAGGATTACAGATAGTTACTTTGATGAACACCTAAATTGGAAAATTGCTGGCTCATGGCTTGTTTTTGCTTTAAACTGGTTTATGCATTATAATATTCTCTGAGGAAGTGGAAATGTAAGAAAGTTACATTTAGAACAAAAAACAAAGGAAATAGAGTAGTTATATTCCTTTAGGGATCGACTGGGATTAGAATTAAGGAGTGAAACCATCCTGTCATATACAAGCTGACACTATGTGTAACTCCACTTTTTCTAAGTCAGATACTTTTTGAATGCTATGGTAACCTTTTAAAAACAATATTTACTGTTTAGTTGCAATTGGGCACAATATCTCTATTTCACTTATTTATTTTTACGTGGTGCTGAGGATCGAACCCAGGGCCTCACAAGTGATAGGCGAGCGCTCTACAGCTGAGCCACAACTCCAGCCCTGCTATAGTAACTTTTACCTCTACTTACCAATCATCTGCTTCTTGGAGTAAAGACTGACTCAAAGCTAATTTTCTATTTTTAATTTTTATTTTTGCAGTGGTAGGAATGAAACCCAGAGCCTCATACATGTTGCACACTCTATCACTGAGCTACAGCCCCAGCCCTAAAGTTAATTTAAAAAAAATTTTTTTGTCTGAATCACCAATTACTCATATTGTTCACATTAAAATAGTGAGCTACCTGGCACTCAATCATTCATGAATTACTACTACCTGTCTTTAAATTTTCCCTACATATATTTCTTCATTTTGGCTTTTGAGTGAACTACAGAATTTCTATTTCACAAGTGGTGTGAAAACTTGTGCAGTGCACCATGTGTATATGTAGTACAATTTTACAACTGAAGGAATTAGCACAAAGATTTGCATAAAATAGCACTCATATGCTCTGACTGCCTCTATTATCACTTACAAGTAATATAACCAGATAAGCTTAATAATCGTAAATACTGACTTTTAAAAAATAATTAATTTATTTATTCTGCTTAGGTATATATGACAGCAGAATGCATTTTGACTCACTGTACACCAATGCAGCACAACTCTTCATTTCTCTGGTTATACAAGATGTAGTGTCGAACCATATGTGCTATCATACATGTACCTAGGGTAATAATGGTCATCTCATTCCACATTTTTCCTGCCCCTATCAACACCCCACTACTTCCTCCCCTTTGCCCAATCAAAGTTCCTCCATTTTTCCCATCCCCCCTCCCATTATGGATCAGCATCCACTTATCAGAGAGAACATTCGGCCTTTGGTTTTGGAGATTGGCTTAGTTCACTTAGCATGATATTCTCCAACTCCATCCATTTACCTGCAAATGTCATAATTTTATTCTCTTTTATTGCTGAGTAACATTCCATTGTGTATATATACCACAGTTTCTTTATCTGTTCATCTATTGAAGGGCATCTAGGTTACTTCCACAGTTTGGCTATTGTGAATTGAGCTGCTATGAACACTGATGTGGCTGTGTCACTATAGTATTCTAATTTTAAGTCCTTTGGGTATACACTGAGGAGTGGGATAGCTGGGTCAATGATGGTTCCATTCTAAGTTTTCTTAGAAATCTCCATACTGCTTTACAGATTGGTTGCATCAATTTTCAGTCCCACCAACATCAAACATTGGCTTTTCTTGCAGAACTCAATTACAAAGTATGACGGGTTGCGGATATAGTTCAGTGGTAGAGCATTTACCTGTATTTACAAGGCCATGAAGACATTTAATGTTCTTTAAATATAAAACTGACCAGAAATTGGGCACAATGGCACACGTCTGTAATTCCAGTGACCCAGAAGGCTGAGACAGGAGGATGGCAAGTTCAAGGCCAGCAAATTAACAAGACCTTGTCTCAAAATACAATAAAAAGGCTCAGAAGGCTGAGGCAGGAGGATCACAAGTTCAAAGCCAGCTTCAGCAACTCAACAAGACTCCATCTCTAAATAAAATACAAAAAGGGCTGGGGATGTAGCTCGGTGGTTAAGTGTCCCTGGGTTCAATCCCCGTACCAAATACATAAATAGGGATGGGGATGTGGCTCAGTGGTAGCAAATACTCTTGAAAACTCCCTAAAAACTGAAAATCAGATTAAAAGATCAATTCAACCTGGAAACAGTCCCTTTTTGTGGTAACCAGAATACCATTGATTCAGATTTTCTGAAGTTTTCAAGCCAGCTAGGCAAGCACTCTACCACTGAGCTATACTCCCAGCCCCTTCAAAGAAATTTTTTTTTTAGAGAGAGAGAGAGAGAGAGAGAGAGAGATAATTTTTTAATATTTATTTTTTAGTTATCGGCGGACACAACATCTTTGTTTGTATGTGGTGCTGAGGATTGAACCCGGGCCACACGCATGCCAGGCGAGCGCGCTACCGCTTGAGCCACATTCCCAGCCTAAAGATATATTTTTAATGTAATAACATTTTTGAAATAAGTGAGGATTATTTAAGAAGATAAATACATTATTCTTAACACATGCTTGCATATATTTCATTTAATCTATAATATCTGGACAAAATAATCATGGGAAGTTTACATATATACTCATCATTTTACAGAAAACTTCCCTAAACAGAAAGAGCTATCAATGAAATCCTCCCAGTGAAAATAAATTTTCTAGATTTTAAACTGCTACCTTAAATCCCTCCTATAAGCATTTATCTTATATATGTCTATAAACACTTTTATAAATACAGTACAAATGAACAGTACTCCATTAATCTAAAAACCAGCAAGGAAACTTAAAGCATACATCTTAGAATTTTAAATAAAAATCACCTTCAATTCCAACAAGAGAGGAATTCTTTTAGATCATGATTTCTGTGGCCTACATCCTCTGTTGGAGACCTTAATAACAGCAGACTGGTTTGAAGTCAGTGAAAAGCAGCAGCAGGAAATGGAAAAGCTCACTGTTCAGCTGGAAAGGTGTCAATAGCAGTTCATTTTAAAGGCACTAACTAGAATTCACAATCTATAAAATGTGTCAAGAAATTTATAGCAATTTTCAGAGGTGGCATTGAGCACTTCAGGTAAAAAAAAAAAAAAAAGTAGGGGGAACCTGTGTGAATCAAGCCTTTAAACAAGAATAATAAGCAGGGAAGGAAATTATAAAGAGGTCTTGCAAACAGTGTTTATTTTAGAATAGCTGTAGCCTTGTGTACTTTGTAATCCATCTGAAAAAGACATCAATTTATACTTACATTTCGCAGTTATTATGCAACCAGCCAGAGAAAATATCATACTGTCTTCTAGGACCTAGGACACAAAATTAAGTTTAGAAAGTATGAAATGTGGGCTGGGGCTGTAGCTCAATGGCAGAGCATTTGCATAGCACGTGTGAGGCACTGGGTTCCATCCTTAGCACAGCATAAAAATAAGCAAATAAAATAAAGGCATTCTGTCCATATACAATTACAAAAAAAATAAAAATAAAAAAAATAAAGGTATGAAATGTCAGTTGGCCTGTATTAGACCCTATTCACATAATCTAGAATATTTAAGCAGGGTCAACAAAAATTTTTTTAAAAGTATATTATCTTATTACCACGTTTTAACAAAAAAAAAATCTGTATAATGTGAAAACTAACCTAAATACTGCACTATGTTTTTGATGCAATAAAATACGCATTTTTCTGTTGGTAATATTACTGGCTTATGTTATACCTTGAAAACTGGTTCAGTTCTATTTTTATGGCTTGGCCTGAGGCACCAAATAGAGAAAGAATAGAAAAGAGCTGACACGGTGCTCAGAACCTGACTCAATTTCTGCACCAAAAGGGCTGGGGATGTAGCTAGAAAATCATTCTGGCTACCAGGACTTCCATGTGTCAAATGGAAGAAGATTCCAAAGAGGAATGAATGTGGCGATGATGACATTCCTGTCCTTTGCCTGACATACCATAAATGCAGTGGTGTGCTAACAGTAATAGTTGAGCACAGTGAACAAGCCCAGCTGCCACACCTGGTCATATCGACAGAGGGACTCAGTCTATGAGGGCTACATAAGTCCTCCTCTGTTATCATTACAGAATTTTAACTCAATATTTGCTTGCCCAATTTTTTTTTTTTTTTTTTGGTGATGCTGGGGATTGAACCAAGAACCTTGTGCATGTGAAGCAAGCACTCTACCAACTGAGCTACATCCCCAGCCCCTAGCTTACCCAAATATTAAATAATATATTGCTTCTTCAAAGAGCTAAATAATGAGATTGAATACTTGGGCCATTTATGATGTGTAATAAGAGAGAAGCCACTGAGTTTCCAGGAGGGCATCTGGATTACAGAGAATTTGATAAACATTTAACAATTTTTTATTTGATAAACATTTAACAATTACATCACCTGTTGGTCATTAAGGTTTCCCTGTACTAAGGAGTCAATGAAAATATGTTGACTGAAGTTCCTTCCTTTTCGTTCTTTTATGATTTTCTTTAAAACAGATTCCAGTTGCATGAGGGCTTAGAGAAGAAACACAAAGAACATTTAGAATACAAGCAGTTGTGGGGATTCAACTTTTTTTTTTTTTTGATACCAGGAACTGAACCCAGGGGTGCTTAAGCACTGAGCCACATCCTCAGAACTTTTTTTTTTTTTTTAATATTTATTTATTTATTTTTCGGTGGACATAACATCTTTGTTTGTATGTGGTGCTGAGGATCGAACCCGGGCTGCACGCATGCCAGGCGAGCGCGCTACCACTTGAGCCACATCCCCAGCCCCTCCTCAGAACTTTTTTGTATTTTATTTTGAGACAGGGCCTCACTGAGTTCTTTAGGGCCTTGCTAAGGTGCTGAGCCTGGCTTTGAACTCACAATCCTCCTGCCTCAGCCTCCTAAACTGCTGGGATTACAGGCGTGCGCTACCATACCAGGCAGGATTCAAGTTTTGAAAATTAATTCTGCACAATGTTCCCACATGCAGAATAAAACCTTTAAAGGTAGTAAACAACAATTTAAAAAGATAATTTATATTGAAAGTTGTCTACTTCTTTCCCCCTTCTTTTTGTTCAATTTAAGATGCATTCCCAAAAGTACATAAAACTATAAGTACAGTCCAAGGAATAAATACAAACACCCACATCATTTTCACCCAAGTCAAGAAGTGAGCTCTAGTCTTAAGGCTTTAAATCTAATTACTGAACACTTCCATATTTTTGCTTTTCATCCAGACATCTTTCCCCAAAGCTCCAGACTCAGATTTAAAAACAAATTTAACATCTTTAATAGGAGGTCTGAAGCATATTAATAAAAACATAACCAACATGCTGAACTTTTGACAATTTCAACAAAACCTGTATCTTTCCGCAGTCTTCCTCATCTTATTCTTTACTAATATAACCTCATTTTCCAGTTAATCAGGCTTAACATCTTATTTTCTCCCCCCTTTTACTCCACATTTAACCTGTCAATCAATGTTTCTGGTTATTTTCTCAAAATACGTAATTAATTTTTTATTGCTATTTTGTTCTTTATTTTCCGTTGTCTGACGCCTGGTCCTAGTCACATCATCTCTCTTGCCTGCTTCTCTGCAATAGCCCTGTAATTAGTCTCCCCACTTCTGCTCTGGGCTCCTGTAGTCCATCACAAGAGCCAGGCTGATGCTTTACTAAAATATAACTCAGATCATAATTCTGCTAAAGCCATCCACTGGCATCCTATCACACAGTAGCAATCTACTCATACAATGGCCTATAACCCACACACATTCTGTTACTCTCTCCAGTCTTCTGAGTTCACCTGCTTCTGCTCCTTTTGCAACCACTTCACATTAGCCATACTGGCTTCAAATATACCAGGAAGAGTCCCATCTCAAAGACTTTGCAATTGTATTTCCTTTACACAAAATAATCTTCCTTTGGACATCTGAGCATTCACACAATATGCAACTATTTGCTCAAAAATAATCTCATCTTGGTGAGGCCTGTCCTAATACTTACTTAAAATTGTAACCTCTCTACCTCCTGATAGTTTTATTTTTTTTCTACAGCATTTTTTACTTTTTAACACTCTATTCAATTTACTTTAGAACCTTGTCTGTCTCTTCCCACTAGAATGTGGAGCCATAAGGGCATGATTTTTTATGTTTACTGACATTTCCCCGCACCTAAAACATGTCAGAATATTACAAAATTTCATTAAATATTTATAAAACTGAATGAATTTGATACATCAGTGGTGAAAATGAGCATAAATCAGTAATACCCAAACTTTGTTACACATTAGAATCACGTGGGAAGCTTTTTTAAAAAATAGTAATTCACAAGTCACACATTATACCAAGTAAATCTGAATGCTTGCAGGTAGAGGGAAGGCTTCAATATATATTTTAAAAATTCAGTGTGTAGCAATATTTGGGAATTACTGTTATACATTCTCAGTACTATAAGTACATTAGAATAATTTGGAGAGCACTTCCAAAATAATCTGCCTGATTCCCAGGGCTTTGGAGAAATTAGTCCTGAAAAGGGCCTGATGATCAAGTTTTGTTTTAAGTTCCCCAAGGGATTCTAATGTGCAGGTGTTAGGGCAGGCCTAAAATGGCTGTAGTTGGGCTCCCTCTGTTGAGAGCCACAGCCGAAGGGGCCCCAGCAAACTTCCAGCTGCCAGCAAACTTCCAGCTGCTGGCTGATGATTGGCTCACAGCGGCCCCAGCAACATCTAGCTGATTGGCTCCTCTGCGGTGATGCTCATTGGGCTGTTTCCCTGCCCTTTCAGACCACGGAGCTGCTCACTGGGGGACTTTTTTGGCTCCGCCCACGTGACCCAGCCAATCGGCCTCAAGAGCAGGAGGATTGTGGGAGGTGGGGAGAAGCTTGTGTGGGAGAGAGAGGCTTGTGGAAAGCCGGTGGTGGCAGTTGAGGCTCTGAGGATTTTTCCTGAGAGGCTGTTTTGTTTGGCGTGTGTGGTTCTAAAAATAAAGTTAGTTTCTTTTGACAAGTGGCTCCTGATTGTGCCCAGCCAGACTGCGGCATCCCTCGCTGAGATTTCCTGCAGATTATGTTATGTTATGTTTTAAATGTGGAGCCAGGGTTGAGAACCTGCTATGTTATAGGTTAGTCACGGCCAGAAACACTTTGATTCTGTATATATACTCAAGATCATAAACACTGACTTGTGAGCATGAGCCCCCTTATGTAACCTGTTGGCAATGGGTCTTCTTTGTTTGACCTACATATAAAAAAGGCCTAAGAAAAGACTCCAGGGCTAAATAGAGGCAAATTGGAACTGGCTGGGTGCTAAAGCTGAAACTGGAGGCTGAATAAAGCATGTCTACTATCCTAACTGTCTTGCACCTTCTTTCACCTGCTGGAAGTCAAATCTTTTTCCTAGGTTAGAGACCCCACATGACAGCAGGACAAGTTGGGAATTAGTTGAACAAAGGAAGCTTTGCTCTACTCATGGGATTCCATTGATAGGTACCAAAACATAATTATTTTCAATAAAAGCTCAAATTTGATTTATGTCCATGTGATAGGCCAAGGAACATATACAGACAATCTATTTTTATTTGGAATAAAAAAATATTAAATTTTCATTTTATGTTAATTTAACTAATATCTCTGAAATACTTTTTTTTTATCAAGAGTACTTAATCCAAATCATCCATAAAGATAATCAGAATGGTAATAAAAACCAAATTGTGTCCATTAAAAGACTTTTAAAAAAAATTTCTGTTGGACATCAAGGTAATCACTAGAATACCAAGCTAATGAGGATAGGGAGTTTATTTCCTGTGCCTAGAATAGGGCCTAGTACATAGTAAACCACAATAAAAATTTGTTAAAAGAATGAAGAGAGGGCTGGGGTTGTAGCCCAGTGGTGGAGTGCTTGACTCGCGTGCGTGAGGCGCTGGGTTCGATCCTCAGCACCACATAAAAATAAATAAATAAAATAAAAATATTGTGTCCATCTACAACTAAAAATAGTTTAAAAAAAAGAATGAAGGAAGAGAATCTTGTGAAGCAACAGTATTATACATGAAAATAACCATTATTCCAATGCAGCCCATATTTTTGTTTGTTTTTGAGACAGGGTCCAGGGTCCTATTATAGAAAGACAGCAAGGTTCTTTTTGTTGTTGTTTTTTGTTTTTTCTTTTGGTGATGCTAGGGATTGAACTCAGGGCCTTGTGCATGCTAAGCAAGCACTCTAACAACTAAGCTATATCCCCAGCCTAAGACAGGGTCTTATTATGTTGGCCATGCTAGCCTCAACTCCTGGGCTCAAGCAATCCTGCCACCCCAGCCTCCCCAATAGCTGGGACTACAGACACAAGCCACTAGGCTCAGCAAGACTATGCATTTGAATTTACTCTGCCTGCTTCCAAGAAAAGGAATAGAAGCAGGTCAGAATAAAAATATTAAAACCAATCAACCATTGACAGAAAATACAGAACAACAACAACGAAAGACCAAGAGAAAATAAATTGTGGAAGCTATCCTAAACTAAAGTTGCTATTTTTTAGTGTAAATATTATAAAGTCATAATTAATGCCGAACAATTTTGAAAATATTTTTACTCAGTGTTTTAATGGCAAGAATTTTTTGTTGCTATTTTTTTTTGTTTTTCACAAATAGCTATATATTACTTAATCATATTGACATTATTTTCTTAGCAATTCCTATAATGTTGGACTCTTAAGTTTATTTTCAGTTTTCTATTTACAGAAATAGTATTACAGGGGCTGGAGTGGTGGCTCAGTGGCAGAGCGCCTGCCTATCATGTGCAAGGCACTGGGTTCGATTCTCAGCCCCACATAAATACATAAAATAAAAGTCCATTGACAACTAAAAATTATTAAAAAAAAAAATAATAATATTACAAAAAATAAGGAACAAGAGTAAAGCCTAGGGACAGAGAACTTGACTAGTATGTTCTAGGTCCTAGGTTTGATCCCCAGCACTACACACATAAAAATATTCATGAATATTTTCTTTTTTTTTTTAAAGAGAGAGAGAGAGAGAGAGAGAATTTTTTAATATTTATTTTTCAGTTTTTGGCAGACACAACATCCTTGTTTGTATGTGGTGCTGAGGATTGAACCCGGGCCGCACACATGCCAGGCGAGCGCGCTACCGCTTGAGCCACATCCCCAGCCCGAATATTTTCTTTTTTCTAGATATTTTATCCATTATTTATGACTCTAATATGTACTGTCAAACTACCTTTTTAGGATTATACCCTTATGTTTTTCATGAATCTAGCAGAGTGTACTCATTTTGCAGTGAGTACTAGAGTATCTTTGTACTTACTCCCTACTTTTTCTTCTCTTTTGTTAAAAAACCAGAAACCAAACCAAACAAAAACCTTGTATTATAGAAAATGTAGGAAAAAAAGCATAAAGAGAACAAAAATTTATATGACTTGTAATCTCACTATTCAGATATAACCCTAATAAAACTGGGGCACATATCTTTTTGTCCTTATTAAAAATGAAGAATGACCAAACTTACCATCTTCATATTGTTTTTTCCGAGTTGCACTTTTATCAAGTGACCCATCTAGAAAGCCTTTTCCAATCTCAGACCAAACCTGAAAATAGGAAAACATGTATCTATTATCTGTTATGCACATTTTAAAAATTGTATCCACATTTTCTAAATATAGAACAATGTAAACTAATAAGTAAGAAACTCTTCCCTCACCAACAACTCCAATGATTAAGTCCTCCCTTTTAAGTGACTGCATAACCATTAACTCCATAGTTTGTAGGACAGGGAATCAAATATATTTCAATGGTTTCAGTCAAGGCACTTTCAAACAAATTACAACTGGAAAGTGAAAAGTTCCTTCTTTAAAAAAAGAAAAAAAAAAAGCTTTGTGAGAACACTTAATTGACTTGCTTCCCAAATTGTGATCTTTGGAGCCACATTATAAGAACACCTGAAAACATGTTAGAAATCTAGAATTTTTGCCCCACCACTGACTCTACTAAATCAGAACTAGCCTAATGCAATTCTCCAGGAACTAGGGAGAATATTAACCTAGAAGAATTTTGGATCAAAACATTGCCTTAATAAAAACAATAAAGATAATAATTTCTAACATTTACTAATTAAAAAAAAGAAAAGAAAAAAACCCATAGGAACAGAGGAAAAATGATAGAGCAGCACAGTATATCCTCCATTTTTTCTTTTACTTAATGGCATAAGTAGATAAATAAAAATTCATAGATAATTACAAATTTTTACATCACCTGAAATATTGATAATCATTGAGTGAGGCCCAGAAAGGGTTAAAAATTAATCTAACATTCGAAATAATTAGCTTGCCTAGCGTGCATGAGGGTCAATTCTCAGCACCACATAAAAATAAATAAATAAAGGTATTGTGTCCAACTACAACTAAAAAATAAACATTAAAAAAAAAAGAAAGAATTAGCAGCCTAATAGGCTTCCACTGTTTCAAAATTGGATGATTCTCTCATTAAAAACCTAACTTGATTACAACAGAAAAGCTCTGAGCCAGGCACAGTAGACCATGACTGTAATCCCAGCTATGCAGAAGGCTGGGTGAGGCAGGAGGATGGAAAGTTTGGAGCCAGCCTCAATAATTTAGCAAGACCCTCTCTCAAAATAAGAGGGCAAGGGCGGGGGTGGGGATGGGGTGGGGTGGGGATGGGGTGGGGTGGGGGAGCGCCTGGGGATATAGCTCAGTTGGTACAGTGCTTGTGGCACATGTACAGGCCCTGGGTCAATCCCCAGCACTACAAAAAAAAAAAAAAAAAAGCGGCTGGGGTTATAGCTCAGTGGTAGAGTATCTCTGGGTTCAATCCTCAGTACTGCAAAAAAATAAAAATAAGGCTCTGAAAAACTTGGGGAAAAAATATAACACTTATTAATCAATGGCTAAGTATTTAAAAAACAGTAAAAGAGTTAAGGTTCTTAACTCTTACCTTAATCTATATACTTTTCAGATTACTTGAATGTTCAAAAAAAAAAATGGGCTGGGATATAGCTCAGTTGGTAGACTGCTTGCCTCACATGCACAAGGCACTGGATTCAATCCCCAGCACCACATACAAACACACACAAACTAGTAAAAGTACTATAAAATTAAAAGTAAATGTTTTTATTAGGAATATCCTTAAAGAGTGTTTCTAAAGGAGTCTCTAGGCATGACATAGAACACAGGACAGAATCCATAAGGAAAAATATGAATTGATTAAGCCACATAAAAATATTAACATTTGTGATAGTGAAAAAACACTACAAATAAAAGTAAAAGCAAATGAAATACAAAAATAAGGCGCTGTACAGATTATTGAGAAAAAGAAACATACCAACATAAATATTACAAAATACATGAGAAAGCATTTCACAAGAACAATATGAATGTTTGACAAAATTATAAAGACACATTTAACCTCATAGACGATTTTTAAAATGTAACTTAATAATGAAATACCTTTTTGGGGGGTGGATTAAACCCTGGCCACTTTATCATGATATACACCCCTCAATCCTTTTTTTAAACATTTTTTTAAGTTGTAGGTGGACACATACCCCTATTTTATTTTTATGTGGTGCTGAGGATTGAACCCAGTGATCCACACATGCTAGACAAGCTGTCTACCACTGAGCCACAAACTCCAGCCCAGCTCCCAGTCCTTTTATTTTAAGACAAAGTCCTGCCGAATTACTGAGGATCTTGCTAAATTGCTAAGGCTAGCCTTGAACTTGCAATCCTCCTGCCTCAGCCTCCCTTGTACCTGGGATTATAGATGTGTACCACTGCACTTAGCATAAAATGTCTTTTTTACTTATTACATAGACAAATATTTAATGGACCACTGATCTAAATGTTGTCAAAAGAACTGGGAAAGAGTACACTAATATTGGTGGGGAAATAATTAGGGGAATGTTTTTGGAGGGCAGTTCAGAAACACAGACTGCAACTGAATCTGAGGTGTACATTTTTTCACACCAGTAAATAAGTATGCATTTTAAAACTCATGACATCTGCCAACTATTATCAGCAATGTAGATGAAGTTGTCATTACCTCTGAATTCACAAACTGCTTATTATTACTGGTGCATGACTGGAACAATGGCAACCCCTTGGTGTTACAGACATTAAAAGATCATTTGAGGAATTATATTAAGTTCTGCTTATCATCTAAGCATTTTCTTTGTCAGCTTCTCATAACATTAGTAACAGATTCCTACACAAGAAGATGTACTTTCTTTCTTTCCCTTTTTTTTTTGTACCAGGGATTAAACCTAGGGCATTTAAAGGCTGAGCCACATCTCCAGCCCTTTTTATATTTTATTTAGAGACAGGGTCTTACTAAGTTGCTTAGGGACTCACTAAGTTGCTGAGACCGGCTTTGAACTCCTACCTCAGCCTCATGAGACACTGGGATTACAGCATGCACCACCGTGCTCGGCCCCATACTTTGAATCTACTCAAAATATCAGATAATTCCAAAATGATAGATATTTACCAGAATAATGGTCCTGTACTTTCTAAAAATGTTGATGTCAAAGCAAATAAACAAACAAAAGACTGAGAAACTGTCCATATTAAAGAAGTTTGATCACTAAAGGTAATGAGCAATGACCTAAGCTGAGCCTTGAGTTTGGGGAAGAGGAAACTATAAGAGCATTACTGGGATAACTGAAGAAATTTGAATATAGATTCTGGATGAACTAACAGGATTGTATCAGTGTTAAACTTAACAAGTTGTCACTATATAAGAAAATATCCTTGTTTTAGGAAATACAGACTGAGGATATTCAGAGATAAAACATCCATTTTTGCTCTTAGATAGTTCTGGAAAGGGGGAAGGAAAGGATACATAGATGGATTGGATGTATGAATGAATGTATGGGTAGACAGACAAACAGACGGACAAATGCATAAAAAAATCAAATGGAACAAAATGTAAACAACCACTGTATTGGGTTGTAAAGGGTATGTGGGAGTTCCTGTATAAGCTGTAACTTTTCTGTAAGTTTGAATAAATTTCTGCTTTGAAGTTATATGGAAAGAAAGAAAAGGGAAGAAAAGGAAAATAGCATAGAAACATGTAGGATATCAGTGGTTAGAAGAAAATCTTGGAAGCAATGGTAGAAGTTTCTTTTTAAAAATGCTCTTTTGTCAACAATTAAATTTAAAAATTGATTATTCATTAAATGAGAAGATATTTTAGGAAATACCTAGCCAATTTCTTTTGCCAAGGGACATAGCATAGTTTATTCCAGGAAGTGGAATTTAAAATGATTTTCAGGAAGACCACAGGTCTGAGACCAGCCTCAGCAACTTAGCAAGACAATGTCTTGAGAGGAAAAAATAAAAAGGGCTGGGGATGGAGCTTAGTGGTACAATCCACTAGTATCTCCAGGTACAATCCCTAGTATTAGTACTGCCAAAAAAATATTTTCCACTTTAGTTTTTAAAAAAATATTTATTTTTTAGTTATAGATGAACACAATATATTTATTTTATTATTTTTTTAATGTGCGCTGAGGATTGAACCCAGTGCTTCACTCATGCTAGGCGAGCGCTCTACCTCTGAGCCACAACCCCAGCCCCCCCACTTTAATTTTTATATGCCTGAATATATAAAAGTTTTATGAAAAAAAAATTTTTGTTTTGTGTTTTAAACCATCAGACAAAAGCAGTGAGGTTATTTTAACAGCAAAAAGTATATTATTAAACAGAGACAGGGTATTAACCTACAGTTTCTGGAGAGTTTTGTTTAGAACACATTATTTAGATTAAGATTATTCAATCTTTTTTATACATTTTAATAAAGGGAATAATTTCTCAGATCTGAAATGTGGTAGATTTCAACAAAATAATCTAAATATGATTTCAACTAAATAATCTAATGTTGAGACTGATTTAAAAAAGAAAAAATTCCATATATGAATCTAGAAAAGGCAAACAATAATTCAGTTACAGATTGAATTTTCTTGCTTCTAATCACATTTACCTCATTAGTATTTTTATGTTCCACTGACTTTGTTGAACTTCTTCCTATGTATGACATAATCTAGTTCTATTAAGCACAGTTTGTCTCCTTATTCTAGAATTCAATATTACTTTTATAACATACTATTAAGTATTAAAAGAAAAATTAGTCACATACTTTTTACATTTCAAAAAGTATTTGCTTAAAAAAAGCAATTCTTGGGGTTGGGGATTTAACTCAGTGTCAGAGCACTTGTCTAGCATGCACAAAGCCCTGAGTTTGAACCTAGGCAAAAAAAAGTAATTTTTAGCTGGGCATAGTGGCACACACCTGTAATCCCAGCAACTCAGGAAGCTGAGGCAGAAGGATTGCAAGTTCAAGGCCATTTTAGTAATCCAGCAAGACTATCTCTCAAAGGGAAGAGGGAAAAGTTATGAGGATAGAAAAGATGGTGGACTGAGATGGACATCATTACTCTAGGTACATGTATGATGGCACAAATGATGCGTCTCTACACTGTGTAACAACCAGAGAATTGAAATGTTACACTCCATTTGTGTATGATGAGTTGAAATGGATTCTGCTGTCATGTACAACTAAGTAGAACAAATAAAAAAAACTAAGAAAATAGAAATGAGAGAAACAAACATCTCTCTATAGATAGAACTCCAATGAATCAAAGGAGAACAGGAGACAAATTCATCTGCTGCTTGATCCTCAACCCCAAGAGCCATATCTCCTTAATTAATAGGTTTCACTGTAACACTTCCATACATGCATATATTGTGTTTTAATTATATCTACCCTCCGTAGGAGGTATATTTTGAAGTTCTCATTCCTTTACTTTGTTTATGAATGTGTAATAGTAAATAATTTCATTTGTTTATCTTACATTTTACTGGATTGAATACTGCTTAAGAATAGAGACTTACTGGAGGGAATAGAAATGGTGTAACCACCTTGGAAAACAATGTAACGCTATCTTCTAATGTCAAACCTTAATATACTCTAATATCTAGCAATTTCATTTCTAGATATATATGCAAGACAGATATAAACAACATGGGATTTGTGTAAGTGCATTCATGATACTAAAACCTGAAAACAAATACCCATAATGAAAAAGAATAAATTTTAAAAAAAAGAAAAAGGGTGGTAAAGCACTCCTGGTTTCCATCTCTACTTACACACACACACACACACACACACACACACACACACACACACCACACAAAAGCAATTCTTAAATTTTTTTTTAAAAAGAATTATTTTAGCTCATATTGTTCTTTTTAGGTCAAAACAAGAAGCTTAACTTTTCTTGAGAGGCAAAGTCAGCATTTTATCATCCAGTGTGATGAAAACAATAATTTTAAATTTGTCACTAGACTTACTGTGCCATGATTCTTTTGGAAGCGAATGACTTCCTGGTCATCTTCAAATGTACTACCCATTACTATCTGTGTAACAGACTTCATAGCAAAACCAAGCATATGCTGGCTGAGGGGTACATGCTGGGTCTCTGGGTAGGAGAGCCATTTGTCTAATAATTCTTCTGAAAGCTGAAAGAAAACAGACAGCCACAACGATTTATTCTTTCTTCTCAATAAATCTTAGAACAACTCAGCAAATAGATTCATTTCATGGCATACACAGTTCAACTCCAGAACCAAAGTAAGCATCAGGTATTTCAGACTCTGGCTCCACATGTAATCCCTTTTCAACATCAGGTTCAACTTCTGTTAAAGAGCAGATCTGCAAAGCAAAATGGAACCACCACAACAATATAAACAGAAAATGTAAATTAAAAATTCAAACACAGAAAAAACTCAAACCTAATGGAAACCGAAGAGACCAAAATCTTAGCATCTACTTAAAAACAGTAGAGGTTTAGGGGCTGGGGTTATGGCTCAGAGGTAGAGCACTTGCCTACCACGCGTAAGGAACTGGGTTCGATTCTCAGCACCACATATAAATAAAATAAAGATATGGTGTCCACCTAAAAAATAAACATTAAAAAAATAGAGGTTTACCAGATATTCTAATAAACATGAATCATGTTTATTGATTGCTTCTGTATGCTTTAAAACAGGTGCCTCTTAGAGCCTCTCTGTCATTCCTTTATTCACCAAACATGCATTAACTACATGGTAGAGTACAAATAATATGAAGTAAAACGATCACAGACTTTGTAGTCAGAAAAATCTTTTTATATTTTTACCAGGGATTGAACCCAGGGGTTCTTAACCTCTAAGCCACATCCCCAGCTCTAGAAAAATCTTGATTTTATTTCTGGCTCTGACACTTGGAAGTAAAGTGGCTTCAGGAAATGTGCTTAACCTAAAGTTTAGATACTTGAACAGTTCAGCTAGAGTGACACCTGCTAACTTGCATGGTTGTTGTGACAGGGATGAATATAACCACGTCACATAATGTAGTAGAGGTTCTGTGAGCTACTATATGGAAAGTTCCTACCATGTTAGGAACTCAAATTAAGTTCCTTTTCCATGTCAATTCTATGAAAGTTTCATTATAGTATAAAGGATTAAAATTAACTTTTGTGAGAAAAAGAATATTCAGAATGAAAAGATTTAGCATTACAGAGATTTCTCCTATTTAAAGTGAAACATTTGGGGGCTGGGGTTGTGGCTCAGTGGTAGAAAGCTTGCCTAGCATGCCTGAGGCACTGGGTTTGATCCCCAGCACCACATAAACAAACTAAATAAACAAGATAAAGGTACTGTGTCCATCTACAACTAAATTTTTTTTTTAAATTAAAGTCAAACATTTGGAAATAAAACTTGTTTTTTGGAAAAGAGAAGTCTTAATGATTCTAATCCAGGTTAACTGAATTGATTCAGTTAATATACTTTTTAAAAAAAAATTTTAGTTATGGATGGACATAATACCTTTATTTATTTATATGTGGTGCTGAAGATTGAGCCCAGTGCCTCATGCATGCTAGGCAACTGCTCTACCACTGAGCCACAACACCAATCCAGTTAATATACTTATAATAGAACTCTCAGGAGCCTGTCTGTAGTCCTGGTTACAATGGAGGCTAACTGAGGAGGATCCCTTGAACCCAGGAATTCAAGACCGCCTGAGCAACATAGTAAGACGCTGTCTCAAAAAAGAAATAAGGAAAAGATAAGGAAAGAATGAATTAAAAATGAACTCAAATTTGAGTGAAGTATAACATGAAAATAGTGATCAAAATACAATATAACTACATAACTTAAAAATTACTTTTGGGCTGGAGGTGTAGCTTGATGAATGAGCACTTGCCTAGCATATACAAGGCCCTGGGTTGGATTCCCATCAACATAAACGCATGCATGTGCACACTCAAAATTTACTTTCAAGTTACCAACAAAATGATTCCACACACAATAGTTGCCCAAGATGTGTAATTTCAACTGGTCTAAACATATTAAACAAAAATGCCAGAAATAATTAACAAGTTTTAAAGTGTGCCTTTTTGAGTAGTGTGATATAATCTCACACAGTCATGCTTTGTCCTGCCCAGTATGTGAATCATTCCTTCATGCAACACATTCATACAGTACGTACTACCTGCCCTGTTAGCCAAATAGTAAATCTAAAGAAGAAACACAAATGGCCAACAAATAGTAGACACTTATCTAAAGAAGAAATACATATGGCCAACAAATACATAAAAAAAGTCCTTCATCATTAACAATTAGGGAAATGCATATCAAAACTACACTGAGATTTCATTTCTCACCAGTCAGAATGGCAGTCATCAAGGATACAAACAATAAGAAATGGTAGGATGTAGAGAAAAGGGACACTTTTATACTGTTGGTGGAACTGTAAATTAGTACAAGCACTATGGAAATCAATATGGAAGTTCCTCAAAAGACTAGGAATAGAACCACTATAAGACCCAGCAATACCATTCCTTGATTTTATTCTAAAGAATTAAAGTCATCATACTACCATAATATATGCATACCCATGCTTATTATGCATACCCATGCACAATTCACAATAGCCAAACTATGGAATCAGCCTAATGTGTCTGTCATTGGAAGAATGGACTTAAAAAAATGTATATAGTATATATAAACTTTGGTGTTTTATTCAGCCTTAAAGAATAATGAAATTATGCCAATTGCAGGAAAATGGAAGAAACTTGAGAACATTATGTTAAGCAAAATAAGCCAAACTCAGAAACTGTCAAGGGTCACATATTTTCTCTCATATGTGGAAGCTAGAGAGGAAAAAAGGAAAAGAAAGGTGGTGGTGGGGGAATCCCATGAAAATCAAAGGGAAATCACTAGAAGAAGACCAGGGAATGGAGGAGTGGAGGAAAAGGGGAAATATTGTGGAATGATATTGACCAAATTATATTGTTTTATTATGTGCATGTATGAATATGAAACAACAAATCCCACTATTATGTACAATTATAATGTACAAATAAAAATATGGAGAAAAATAAAAAATATCTCTCCAAATTTTGTCTTGCGTTATTTATGTACCTTTACATGGCTAAGAGTTCTGTTAATTAGATCTAGTGATTTAACAGTTATGGTTGAGTATCTATGCTAAAATATTTACTACCAGCTACCTTAATATCATGCATAAATCTCATGTTTATGAGTATAAATTGTAAAGACCCAACAAATGTTTAATATTTAATATTTAATATTTAATCTTATCATGAATATTCAATAAAAATATAATCATCTATAGACATCCTCAGAATGTTAAGATTAAAATACTGCACAGGTAACTCAGAAGTAGAGTACTCATCTAACATGCACAAGGCCCTGGGTTCTATGCCCAGTATTGAAAATAAATAAATTAATTAATCAATAGCTAAATGGGGCATGGTGGTGCATGGGGTGGCTGAAGCAGGAGGATCTCCTAAGCTCCAGAACTGGAAACCAGTCTGGCAACATTACAAGACTAAAACATTTTAAAAATTTGTGTTAATTTTAACTAACATAATATTATATGACAGAAAAATAAAGCTTAAAATGAATTTCTACTTGGAGGCAGGTTTATAATTCAATAGATAAGACATTAGCATGTATACATAATCTTTCAGAAAAATACAAATTTCCTTTTTTTAAAAAAAGCGTTTATTAGCAGGTGGGAGCTGTAGATCAGTGATAGATCACTTGCCTAGTACTGTGAGGCACTGGGTTCAAACCTCAACACCACATAAATAAATAAATAAACAAATAAACAAATAAATAAAATAAAGGTATTGTGTCCATCTTCAGCTAAAAAATATATTTTTTAAAGTGGTTAGAAATTTATTTAGTAATTATTGTGAAATTATTAGAATTTCAGAGACGTGATTGTGTGTGTGTGTGTGTGTGTGTGTGTTTTCCTGGGATCAAACCTAGAGCTTCAAACGTGCTAGACAATTGCTCTACCACTGAGCTACACGCCCAGCAAGGCAAAGCAGGTAATTTTTAATTCCACCTTACATTAGGATATTATTAACTGCAAGACTAAAGAAAATTTAAAGAAAGAAAACCAACCAAACAAAATATATCCTAGGGGAGTAGAACTGGCCTATCAGCCTTGTGGATAAGTATAAAGCTCTAGAATCAAGTGACTGGAATCAAATCCTAATCCTACTACTTTTTTTATTAGCTATACGACCTTGGACAAGCTACTTAAATATTCTGTGCTTCATTTTCTTCATCTGTAAAAAGAGGGAAACAATAATACCTACCTATAAAGTACTTGTGAGGATTAAATGAGTTAATGCAAGCTATTAAATCAATTAATTCAATAATTTTGTCTATTAATATTACTAAGCTATCAATTAAGCAGATTCTAGATAATAGCTATAAATTCTAAATTCCAGAAATACTTGTTTAATCAGAATATGGCCCAGAAATCATAGGAATATATAGGATTAAAGCACAGAAAGAGAAATTACACTCACAGAATTAAAGTGGAGGTTTATACACAGCGTTGAAGCAAAGATGGGCAGGACAGGAAGGAATCAGAATTCACAGGACAGAGATGACAGATTAATCATTAGAGGATTTAGTCTGAATGCAGAACTCACATCTAAACAAAAAAAGGAGAAAAAACGCCAAAAAAGTTTACTGTGGCAATATGAAACATAACAACTTATTTTAAGGTAATAATTCTGGTAAATAGTGCTGTTCTACCTGGTCTTAAAGAAACCATTGGTGGGCTGGGGTTGTGGCTCAGTGGTAGAGTGCTTGCCTAGCATGTGTGAGGCACTGGTTCAATTCTCAGTACCACATATAAACAAATAAATAAAATAAAGGTCCATCAATGACTAAAAATTTTTAAAAAAGAAAAGAAACCATTGGTGAGCCGGATGCTGTGACGCACGCCTATAATTCCAGCAACTAAGGAGGCTGAGGCAGGAGGAATATGAGTCCAAAGTCAGTCTCAGCAACTTAGTGAGGTCCTAAAGCAACTCAATGAGCTACTGTCTCTAAATAGAATACAAAAAGGGCTAGAGATGTGGCTGAGTGGTTAAGCACCACTGGTTCAATCCCTGGTACAAAAAAAAAAAAAAAAAAAAGAAAGAAAG